ACTAGACGGTCAAAGATGACGCTGAAGAAATTTCTAGGATCCGGCAAGTCGTCAGAGTGCACAAAAAGGCTGAACGGGCTGAGTTGTCAACACAGCATCGCGCTGACGTATCGGAGCAGGCAGCGATTGGCAGGCAGCAGGCTTCTCGGGAAACAGAAGGATCCAGAGGCTGAAATGTCTTCTGCTGTCGTCTTGTTCTTACAAAAACTTGGGGAAACGTTGGACGGGTTGCAATATTGAGCGTTGCCAAGCAGGGATGACGATCCATTATATATCACAGTGGCGCTTGTTTTCTCATTTCTTCAATGACCACGCACTTCTGCAATTTTCTCTCACGCTCTCTCGCCTGCCCTGTCCTATCTAGCTCGTAATGCAGTAATTTCCTAGGGTCATGACACCGCGGCGCAAAATGTGACGAGGGATGAGAGCAGGGTACATGAGCACAATGAGGAACGGCTCGGGCACTTGAGGATCGACGAGGCCATGATTGGCAGATTGGGACGAGTAAGCTTGCTTGGGATTGCTGCAAGGGTGTCGATTGACAAAGGACGCGCAAACGTGGATGAAAGAAACACGAGGCATTTGGCATCAAGCGACTTGGGACCAGTTGCCCGGGGTGGCTGTGACACGAAAGCGGGCGATTAAGACTCAGCTATTGAGGATTCACGACAGAATCTTCGTGTGCTCCTCGTATTTCTGGGCGCGAGGTGCTTAGTGGCCGGCCCTGCCACACTCAGACAGCCCCCCCCCCCCAAATCAGGCTGTCAAGAAAAGCTTGAGGGCGCAGAGGTACAGACCAGGGATGGTGTGATGATGCCTAGAGTGGGTGTTCATGGTGCATGGTTAGAGCCATGCGGGCTGACAGCGCAACAGGAACCCTAGCCATGTCTGATAGGACACACTGTTAACCAAGCTATTCAAGCATCAGCGGACCGGGAGACGCGAGGTGCTTCCGGCGCTGACGAGACCGCGATACAAACGGCTGGGATATGTAAGTATAGGATGGACGTTGCGAGAGGGTTTCTTGATCTCTGTTCCAGGTGGTGGGATTGAGAGACAACCTCCCTTTGGCGAGCTGGGCACAGACGGCTGCGGGCAGAAGGGACGATCGAGAGTCTTGGGACGAGATAGCGAGATACTTTGACATGTGTGTCGCTGACCATCAAGGTTGAGGTAGAGGATTAGCTAGAAAATAAGCAGTGGATCGAAGGCGCGGGTAGAAGTGGGACACCGGCAGGGATCCCCACCACTGAACGGCGGGGCGTGGGTGAGGTGACTGCGAACACTGAAAACGCTGCAACGGCTGCAACTGGAAATGCTAGCTGCTCGGGGCGGTGGCGCTCGGCAGAACTTTTTCGCTGCCAAACTTTTTGGGACCCTGCAGCAGCAGAAGCAGCAGCAGCATCAGTGCGCTGAGTTGAGCGACGAACGAGAAAGGCAATCTTTGTAACGGAAAAAGAAACGCCATTCTTCATTTTTTGCTTTGATTTCCTTACGATTTTACGTACTTGCCTTCGGGAACACATAACCACTGAACATAATGACAAAAACGGCCAGCGCAAAGCGCAAGCGCGCCGAGAGGGAAGCCCTCAAGGCCGCTGAACAGGCAAACAAGCGCGCAAAGACGACCGACGGCAGCAGCACCCCCGACGATGCGACCGCCGACGCCCCGCGGGCGAATCTGCCCAAGGTCGTCGTGGAGAAGAGGCTCTTCGTCGAGAACTCCACCGGCAAGGATCGCGTGCGCGAGGCGAAGCTCTACGAACTCCTCAGCAGCGAGAACGAGACGGACCGCATCGAGGCCGCCGGGGCCATTATCTCGAGCCTGTTGGACGGCGAGGGCGTGACGGAGGCTTGCCTGGAGAGGCATCTCGACTGGCGTCTGTTCAGAGGCCTCGCGAGCGGACGCGCCGCGAGCAGATTGGGATACAGTCTGGTGCTCACCGAGATCTTGAGCCAGCTGCTGGGCCCGCCGAGGAATCTCGCCAAGGAGAGGTATACCGGTCTCACCTTCGAGAAGGTCCTGGGCATGCTCCTCGAGAGGACGCACGTCGGCGGAAACATGCCGGGCCAGGAGGAGCGGGATCTCTGGTTCGGACAGCTCTTTGGCCTGGAGTGCTTCGTCCGCGCGCGCGTGCTGTTCGAGGCCGAAGAGGGTCCCGAGCGGTGGAATGAGATCTTGAGGCTGCTCGTCAGGCTAGGCAATAAGAAGGTCTGGCTGCGGCCGCAGTGCGGATGGGTCGTTGCGCAGGCGCTGGCCCAGCTGGACCGCAGCCGCATCGAGATGGTGCTGCAGCAGCTGGTGGAGCTCGGCTGGGCCAAGACACCTGAGGGTGTCGGGATCTGGCTGATTGCGCTTGAGCAGTGCCCTGAGCTGAAGAGCGACGACCAGTCGAAGCCGCAGCACCACCCGCTGTCGTCGCGGAACCTCGGCGACCTGGCGACGATTCTGAAGGAGAGCAGTGCGAACGAGGAGCAGGCGGAGAAGGAGAAGCAGATGTCGCAGAGGGGGCAGAAGAACAAGCAGGCCAACTGGACGCCGCAGCTGCACTTTGTGTGGGATCTCATCACTGTGCACTTTGCCAAGTTGGGCAGCGGGCATGTTGAGGAGTTTAGGACGTTTTGGAAGAGGGTTGTCGATGGTAAGTCGGGGATTTTGCGACTTCTTTCTCAAATCACACATTGTGCTAACGTTTCGATCTGCAGACAACTTCTTCGCAAAGGCGGCGACCGAAGGCCAAAAGTTCCGAGGCTTCTTGGTGTTCCAGAAGATGCTCCAGGCGTACATCAACAACGACGAGTTCCTCGACGTTCTCTTCAGCCGAAATGTCATGACCTGCCTCATCAACCAAGCGTCCCAGGTGGACCGATATCTGCACCGAGCGGCGCTCAAGACGTTGAAGACGATTGAAGAAGCCTCCGCGTCGCACCCGGAGGCCACGGGCATCATTCTCGACGACCTGATTAGCAACAACGGATTGTACAGATTCGACGTCATGACGAAAACCAAGACGGTCGACAGGATTCTGCAGCACGTGCAGGCTGAGACGGGCGAGGACATCATTCAGGTGCTGAGTGGCCCTGTCATGAAGACGGCCACCTCTGCCAAGGACATCAACACCGTCAAGCTTGACCTCCGCGTGTACATCGACTACCTCTTCCGCTTGACCACTTCGGCCCCAGAACCCTCACTCCAAGAATTGACGTCTCTCGCCTACGCCAAGCTTGTCTGGATCCCGGAGAACGCCAACGCTCTGGTTCAGGAGCTGTCAAGGAACCGTCTCCAATCCGCGTTCGCCAAGCTCTCCCGCAAGGCCGAGGAATCAAACTACCTCTGCACGGCGGTCCAGTCCATCAACCCCGACTACATCCGCATGGAAGGCGACATGAAGAAGGAGGTCAACCAAGCCCGCAAGCGCCTGGAGAAGCTCATGAAGACGGGCGCCGGCGCCGGCGAGGGTGCTGCCGACGACGTCAAGATCGCGCAGGGCCTGGCTTTGCTGCACGCTATCGCCATCTTCCAGCTGTACAACGAGGAGCCGGATGCGTTCCAGCTTCTGAGCGATCTGAAGGAGTACCAGTCACGCCTCCAGGAGGACGAGGAGGGTGCTGCAGAGTTCTTGGTCGAGATCCTCCTCGCGCTCGTCTCGCAACAGTCCGCGCTCATGCGTGAGATTTCGCAGCGGGTATTCGGATGCTTCACCAGCCGCGTCTCGCCCAAGGCTCTCGAGCTCCTTCTGGATGTCCTCGCGGCCGACGAAAGCGCCAAGGGCCAGCAATCCCTCTTCGACGTGAACGACGATGATGACGTCGAGGAAATGGAAGAGGACGGGGATGAGGAGGAGGAGGACGACGACGAAGACGAGCTCGGCTCAGATTTCGAAGTCGACTCGGATGTGGAATTCGTCACCCTCAACGCCGGCGACGCCGAAGACGCCGATGATAACGAGGGCGAAGACGACGACGGCTCCGAGGCCGAGGACGGGGACGATGAAGAGGCCAAGAACCTGGAAGCCCTCGACGACGCCCTCGGCAAGATCCTCAACAGCCACCGCCTCGATAAGGACCAGGAGGCCGACTCGTCCGACGACGACGCCGACATGAGCGACTCGGACATGCTCGAGCTCGACAACAAGCTCGCCGAGGTGTTCAAGCAGCGCGCCAAGGCCGCGCCGAGCAAGAAGAAGGAGCGCAAGGCCGCCAAGGAGTCCGTCGTCAACTTCAAGCGCCGCGTGCTCGACCTGCTCGAGATCTTTGTGCGCAACGAGGCCGGCAGCCCCACGACGCTCGCCGTCCTGCGCCCGCTGCTGGAGCTGGTCCGCACGAGCACCATCAAGACGCTCGCGGACCGCGCGTTTGAGCTGATTAAAGATTACCAGAAACGGCTGCGCAAGGCGCGCTCCTCCGCCGCGGCTGGCAAGGTCGATAAGGAGGAGGCCCTGGAGGTGCTGAAGGGGGTGTATGAGGAGCTGAAGGCGGGCGAGACGAAGGCGCATGCCAAGGCTGCCGTGCCGGCTTGCCTCATTGCCGCGTCGAGCGTATTCCACGCGTACAACGGCGATAGGAAGGTTGTCGATGCGGTTGTGGGGGCCGTGGATCAGGGTGCTGCTGGCGGGGTGCAGGGCGAGATGAAGAAGGCGTGGGACGAGTGGTGCCGGAATCACGAGGCGCTTAAGAAGCAGGGCGCGAAGAAATAGGATGTGTGGGGATCATGTGTTTACGGCGTCAGGGTTTGGGAAAAGACTTTGATTCAATAGAAAAGGCGGCCGCGCGGGCTGTTTGATTTTGGTAGAGCATCATAGATTCTTAATGTCTAAAAGGTGTTTTCTACGTTATGTACACGTCCAGAAGCATTCAGTTGATGAATGTGAACTGCCTGCGCTGTTACTAACGGTATTATCAACTAATCAATTCCCTCCTTTTTTTCTAATGGTACCCAAATCGAGCCAACATATCAGACTCACTATCCCACACCACACCCTTAACTGTGGTGGCAAAACTTAGTCAAGACGCTCTCGACCAGTCATGCCACGAAGATAGTTCCTAGGCTCGTCCTCTTCTTCAATCGAGCAAAGAGGCGAGGACAGCAGACGGCGAGGAGGCGGCAGATACGTAGGGACCAAGATGGCGCTATTTCTTACCATGCGCATGCGGAACGAGCGTTCGTGAAAGTCCCCGTTGTTCTCTACGCCTTGTATTAGAGGCGAGGAGGCCGAAGCTTCAGCGTCTTCGGGGTCTGGGTTGTCAACGTTGAAAAAGACGGGGTGCAGGGCAAGGGGATCGTAAGGCAGATTAGCCGAAGCTTTGATGTCGGCCTCCGTCGCGATTACAGATTTCGCCTCCATTGCATATTCCGCATCTACCACGGCCTCCGTGGATATGTTTCTTGGACGAAGCTGTGTTGGGTCCCGCTGGGGTGTGAGCTCGTTGAAAGACTTGCATCTAGCCAACGTTGACCCCGGCGGGTATTGATAGTGGATCATGGGCAGAGACATGGCGCGCTGTCTCGGGGCGTCGGTAGTAATGTGGACGCAGCGGAAGATGGAGACGCACTCTTCGATGAATTCGCGAATGGCGGAGACCATGATGGCAAGCGGATAATGCGATGTTGAGTGTTTTGGGTCTGCCTTCATGTTCGGCTGTCTCAGAAGATGCCGGATACTTATGCTCATACTCTGCATGGCAAAAATCCAAAAAGTCGCTTATCATGTTTGGTTTCTGAAGAATTGCATGGCAGCGAGGTGGGAGATATGGCCGCGAGACTGAACAACGCCGTTGTTCAGCGGAGGTCGGGGCCCTTCATAGTCGCCCACTCGGCCGAGGACCGGAATCTGTTGGCCCATGTAACAGAAATTGGCCCATTGTTGGGGCTGCTGTCATGTTGCTCTTTGTGAAAGCGTGATCTGCTGAGCGTCGGGCGAGTGAGGTTGAGGCCGAGATGATAAAGAAGAAGGAGATGCATCCGGGCCTCGACGACTCGGCCGAGGTTTCGTATATGTGGATGAGGGGTCACTCCAAGAGCCTGGTTGGATGTCGATCGGATCCAACGGTTTCACGTGAAGCTTTTCAATAGTTCTGCAGTAATTTACTGACGTCTTTCGATTTAGGCAATTCACCACTCAATCGCCGGCCCCGGGAGAGGGGTCCGGGGTCGTTCAGAATGACCCGCGAGGAAGGACATGATATTTGCACAGGCTCTAAATGAGGTAAATTAGGTAGAATGAGGTAGCCAGGCCACGCAAAAGTAATTGCATGATATTTGGACATGGGTAACTTGCAAGGTGCGTCAACGACGACGCGACCAACCGCCTCATCCCACCGGATTTCCTTCCGTCTGCCTCGCTTATCCGAGCGTTTAGTTGACAAAGCAGCGTCAGGAGCGATGAACAATGGAGAAAAGGGCACATTCAAAACTCGTCCTCTTCTTTTTCGATTAGTTGGGAACGTAACAATTCTAAATCCGGTCCAACGTTATCCCTTCCTTCGTGATTTGCTCAATGCTTTCTTTTTCCATTATGGTGACTTATTGTTGTTTTCCCAAGTTCATGGATGATCAGCCTCACACTCAAAGACTCAACTTCTTCGGGTAGGACGATTGTCGAAGTTTCTTTCAATCCAAGCACACATGCGTTTCTGGTCTATGCCACGGATTGGGCGCCGCCTACATGATAAATTTCATGGGCTGCCAGTTAGATGTTTCCGCGACGAACAGTCTTTCCAGATCGCAATAATTACTCTAACATTCATTGCAACCGGCAGCTTCTTGTATATCTTTACACAGCAAAAACATCGTATAGCTGCGTTAACAGTCATCGTTATCAGAATGTGTATCCAATTATGGCGCAGATATTTCTGTCCCAAAGCACCCGACTTTGGGCCTCTGCCAGCAAACGCTTTCACAGTCCCGCACCCCAGGCCAAGCCCCTCCGGCCACCCACACCATCTAGTGAACCAGGAAGAGAACATATTCAGGGAAAATTGGGAGGATCCCCAAGACCAGGTCCCAAATGGCAAGCACATCCACTGGATGGCAAACTGGATCCGCTGCTCCCATAATTATCATCGGCAATGCGAAGAGCTCTCCAACGACATGAAAAAGATCCAGTACATCGGCACCGCGTGCCCGTTCTGCAAAGGAGACATTGACGTTCATGTCGAGAGACGAGAGGACGTATTTGGGGAGTGGGACATACACCCCAAGATCCCGGTGGAAAACGACCCCGACCAGCAACTGGCCGCTAGGTTCGATGCCTACAAGGAGTATTACATTCTCAGGCTCCTCCTGCTCATGCACAGGATCTTGACGAGTCCTTATCCCATCGCCTCCGAGAGCTTGGAATGGAGCCAGATCATCGACACTTGCTGGCAAGAGACCTTCTGCAAAGTGGTCTTCAGTCATGTTGGACACGCCATGGATGTGTGCGACTGCCCCTCGACCAAGGAGGAGTGGCGCGTCAACCCTGCCATCACAATTAGAAAGAACGAGGCGGAGTCCGTCCTTGAGGGTATCGACAAGATACCTCGCGGCCAGCGCGAACGTTTCTGGATGGGGCGTATCTTCAGATACGACGCAGCCACCAACATTTACACAGAAGACTGGACAGTCACCGACAGAGCACGACAAATCTACGGCCTGTATCGTGCTAGCGACTTCCCCGAATACCAGATGCAGTACGTCGACGTCGACTTCGACGCCTGTGCCAAACGGTACGACAGGCTCGTAGACCTCGGGGACGACTGCCACGAGGAACTAATCAAACGGGGGCCCCAAGTCTCGCAAAGCTACCCGTATAACAACGCCACCTTCCACACACGAAGGGTCCAGTGGATGGACCTGGACAACTGGCCGTCCTCGCTTCTCCGCCGCGAGACGCTCTTACAGTGGATGTTCATGTTCCTCGCGTACGACGCAGGGCTCGACGAGGAGGTCATGATGTTCCTCGGCGGCGCTCTCCTCGCCATCCTGAATCCCTACCCGTCAATTCGGACAAGGTCGCACCCGTCGCATAAGAAGCCGGAGTGCCTCGACCCGGACCTCGCCGCTTGGGATGTGCTGCAGGAGTGCGTCTTCGAGCTCGAGAACCACTGGCCTCTGCTCGCCCGCAGGAGCGAGATCCAGGACAACCTCTACGATGCCGCGCACGAGACGTCGGCCCTGGTGAAGTTGATCAGGCGCAACAGGCGCATCATCGTGAACGACATCAATTCCCGGAACCAGGCGGCCGACCGCGGCGTCAAGGCCTTTGCGGTCAAGCCGCAAGAGGCTATCAATCAGGGACAGACGCAGTGCTCGGTGTGTACGGACACGTGGGGCTCGCAGCCGTTCCACCAGCCCGTCAAGATGCCGTGCTGCAAGGCGTTTGTCGGGGCGCGGTGTCTCAAGCAGTGGCTGGCGTCGAGGCCGCTTCGCGGAGCCGAAGAGGACGCCTCCGAGGACGATGCTACGTGGGCGCAGGGTTGGAAATGTTTGTTGTGCCGGGCTCCGATAGGCGACAAGTTCCGGCCAAAGCTGCGTGAGCATCAAAGGCTTGGCCCGGAAAATCTTCGAGATCTCGCCTTCAACAACGTGTCGAAGAGTTTTGAGCAGCCATCGTGGTGGTGGGGGTGTAAGCTCTTCGAGCATCAGATGAATGGAGGGCCATCACAATCTTAGAATGGCTTCTTTTTGGAAAACTTAGGAGGGATACTTGGGGTGAAGGATATTGTTTGGGTTTTTTGTTCGCTATATAGACCGTGAGAAATATTCTGGAGGGAACAGCTTCACATCGTGTAAGAGACAGACTATAGGTGCAGTTCGTGTAAACCTTACCTTTGGTGATGATAGGAAATGAGTGTCCACCGCAGACGTCTTGGTTGAAGTCTCTCACCGAGCCTCACCTTCCTGACCGAGGGACGTTGTCCAACGGGGAGGCACCCGTTGAGTGGCTTACATAAGACATATAGGCCGCACAATTAAGGGAGCAGATCTGGATCGATCTAGGCCCAAGATGGACTGGTGCGATTCATGAGCCCCTGTCCGGAACCTTCTCCTTTGAGTCTCTTTTGCAAACGGGAGTCCCCTGGGCCGCAGCACCAGCAGCAGCAGCGACCCTTTGCGACTGGCCCCCCGGTTGAAGGCAAAAAAGTTCCCTTGTCCAACGGGAAATTCCATCTCCTTTGAGATTTCTCCTTGCCCAAGAGACCACATTTCCCATTTGCAAGTCTCGGGAAAATTTTCTCTTCTCTGGGCAGCCAGTTTTCTGCTCTTTAGCATTCGGATTCGCAGGGAGGCAAAGTCTATTGTCAACCCTTTTGGAGGAAACAGAACAAGAGGACAGAGAGGTAGGTTACGTTCGTTTTGTGTGATTGGTGGTTTATGCGTTGCGTGTTGCTTGCTGTTGTTGTTGTTGCTTCGCTGGCAGCTCCATGCCACATGCTCCCCACATCCCCATTTGAGAAGCTAAAGCTAATAACACCTGGCATCCTCAGGACTCGACACCGAGACTCTCCCATATTTCGGCCGTCCCCGTGCCGCATCTCGTCGACTCTTTGGCATAGTACGCTGGTTCTGGTTATGCAAGGATGAGGTTCAGCGTGCTGTCTATTGGCCTCTTGGCCCTCCTGTCGCCCTTGACCGCGGCCTGGAGCAAGGAAGGTGAGCAAACAATTGCATCCGTAGACACAAAGCACATTGTGCGACACAAAAGCTGACAAGAGACACAAATAGATCGCGAGATCTTCCGCATCCGTGATGAGATCAAGGCGCACGAGCCCAATGCCGACGCGACCTTCTACGACCTCCTCGGCGTCAAGAACGGCGCCTCCATCGACGACATCACCAAGGCCTACCGCAAGATCTCCCGCTCCCTCCACCCTGACAAGGTCCGCCAGCAGCTCATCGCCGAGCGTGCCAAGGCCAAGAAGGACAAGAAGAAGAAGCCCGGTGTCAATGTCTCCAAGCCCCCTACCCAGAAGGAGATCAAGGCCGCTGTCAAGATCGCCTCCGACCGCCAGGCCCGCCTCGGTCTCGTGCGCAACATCCTGAGCGGCCCTGACCGCGACCGCTACGACCACTTCCTCCGCAACGGCTTCCCCGCCTGGAAGGGTACCAACTACTACTACAACCGCTACCGCCCCGGTCTTGGCACCGTTCTTTTCGGAGTCTTCCTCGTCGCCGGCGGCGCCTTTCACTACATTGCTCTGTACATGTCATGGAAGCGCCAGAGAGACTTTGTGGAGCGCTACATCAAGTTTGCGCGCAATGCTGCTTGGGGTGACAACCTGAACATTCCCGGTATCGACGATGCTCCCGCCCCTGCGCCCGCCCCGGCTGCTGCCGAAGACGACGAGGACGCGCCCCCCATCCCGAGGAACCGCAAGGAGCGCCGCATGCAAGAGCAGGCCGCTCGCAAGGGCGCCGCTAAGGAGGGCAGGGGCCGTGGCCGCAAGCCCGCCGGCAGCGGCACCGCGACTCCCCGCGAAACCGCCGTCGCCCAGTCGTCCGGCCCGACTGGAGCCAAGAAGCGTGTTGTTGCTGAGAACGGCAAGATCCTCGTTGTCGACTCCGTCGGCGACGTTTACCTCGAGGAGGAGAACGAGGAAGGCG